TTTTTAGGGTCAAAGAATAAGCAAGCTAGTAGAATTGCTCTTTAATCCTGAAGATGGAGGCTATACATTTCTCTGAAACATCAGTAACTTCTACCAGACTACATGGTGTCACATCCCAGAAGACAGTATTCTTCATGGTCATTGCCATGAGAACCTCTCACAATGTGTGACATATTTTTCATGAATTCTGAAGTTCCTTTATACTTTCATTACTGTTTTATAAGTAAATTTAATGATGTGGTCCAATACACAAGTCACCAAACATGCATTTTATTTTTAACTTCATGATATTAAACCTGCATTCAGTGTCATGGTATTACTTCAGATGTGACATTTTTATTTTTATATGAGTTATTGTATTTTTGTCAAGTCTTATTGTATCCAGGGCATAATGCAATGGTATATTTTAAATAAATAAGGTGCTTCAGTAAAATAATATTGTAACGTGTTTGGTCTACTGTGGATGCCGTTCGGATTGTTAATTGGTTTTATTAACAACCTACAAGTCGTAACTACAATTGATAACACTATTGCGGGTTTACACAATTTACAAACCCTACACACTAATCTCTTCATGCTATCTTCAGTAGTCTTCACTTATTTATAGTACAACACGGGAGCTATATAAGTGTCACTGAATTACACACTCCCAATGCCTTCTCAATTATCACAAACTATCACTGATTCTTCTCCTTCTTCATTTCTTGAACACTTTGGCCTGCCCAATAATTTCCTTCCAACTACTTCTGTCCTGTGTGCAAGTTGTCCAGTTATAAATTCCTAAATCCTTTAGATCTTCCCTTACGTCATCTTTCCATCTTATCTTACGTCAGCCGCTCTTTCTTATAGTGTGTGGCTGCCAATCATATATTCTTTTAACTGTTCATCCAACCTCCATCCTTGAGATGTGTCCAAGCCAACTTATTCTTTGGGCTTTTATAAAGTTAACTATATTCCTTTTATTAAATTATCTAGTTCATTTGTTTTAATTCTTCAGGAGCCATCATAATTGACTATCAGTGATTATCACACATAAAATCTTCTCATCACATGTTCAATTCTTCTTCCCGTGGCTGCTTTGACTGACTTCTGGTCTACCGAATACTATGAGAACTAACTGCTTCTTAGTTACTCCAGTTTCTCTTATAAACCCTCAATCGGACAGGCGGAAAATGCGGCTTGTTTCACTGTTGCGTGACACCGTGTTTACAGAGGTATTGCTTGGCAACGCTGCCAATAGTTGTTTACTGCTGCGTAGCAACCAGCGCGGTTTGGCTCCACTCAGTTCGGCACGACACAGAGAAACACCACTTTCCTTACTGTTGCGTAACTTGACAACCCACCATTTATCAAGAGTCTGTCTTTGTGGTAACTCGTTCCACATCCCGTTGCCCAACAACGGTTTCACATGTCACAATATTATCTGTTACAGAACTATAAATTTTGTTCACTGAGTTTCAGTACACAGATGACAGATGGTTTATAACCATCCAGACAGTGTATTCTCCATAACTCTGTCCCACACACATTAGTGTCATATGATGTAGTGTGCAAGTCATAACTGATCTGTGGAAGACTAAGAATTTAAAATTCCTAAAATTGTTCTTTGTCATAAATGATGATTGCTACTTAAATGTATGCCAACCAAACACGTCATTATATTGACACATTGCTGATAATTATCCAGAAGAGGTGCAACTTCACTGATTTATTTACATGCAAACACACACACAATTGGAATTGCATCTGTCTTTTGTTTTCTTATAGCCTTCTGAATAAAGGGTGAGATGCAGGCTAGAAGCCATCTTCTCTGGAATAAGAAAATCACATGCTCCACATCTGGAAAACATTTTAAGTGAAATTACAGGGTGGTGCTTGAAATGATCCAGTATTTGATTTAGGATTAAATATTCAAATATGCAATGAATGATGTTCTGTAACATGGTAACACAGTAGATCATGGAGATTAGTTCTTACTCTTCCAAAGTGCACTGTTCCTGCTCATGCGCCAGTTCACACAATATCGCTGACAAAGGAAGAGAGAGAATTACAGTGTGGGTCACTGTATCAAATTGTGGACTGTTAGGGCGAATTGTCGTTGAAGAGTCCGTGAATAGTGAGTGCCACTTAAGCATATTGTGCAATACTTTTGTGCCTCACCTTGCTTCAGGTTTCCCATTACAAACTCAGTAGTTTATGCATGATGGAGCCAGGTTGCACACAGGGAGTGTTGTTTTGGACTCTCTGCATGACACTTTTGACTTGCATTTCATCTCAAACCAACTTCCTAACTGGCCCCCACATGGTCCTGATTTAAACCCATGTGACTACTTTTTTGGGAATTCCTTAAGGAAAAGGTTTTTCCAAAAAATCCGCAAACAGTAATAGAATTTTGAACACTAATCATTCAGGCCTGCAACAAGATAACCGTGATTATGTGCCATCCAGTAATCACCGTCACAATTTGCGTTGAAGTTGCCAGATGTGATGGTGGTCATATTGAACACTTTATTCATGGAGGATAAATCTCCATGCAGTGGTCTTTCTTTTTGTATGTTTCTAGTATTATAATTGAAATATTTTATGAATAGATCAAATACTGAATCATTTTATGCTCCACCCTGTACTTACCTGATATAATGGTAGCTGTTACAATTGGGGTTCTCAAACATCCACATATATATCATACAAGCTTAAAGAATTCTGTGACACATAGAAGTTAATATCCACCAAGAATTTGTAAATACACATAAGAAAAACAAAACATTGGCTTTTAAAGGAAAAAATTATGATAAATGCAATACAGTTGAAGAGTTAGTAAATTTTAACCACTGTGGTTATGGTATCACATAATTACAAAGAAATAATAAATTTTATAAAATTTTATATAGCAGGAGAATTAAAATTTTATAGCTGTGGAGGTTCCTGTGTTACTATATGGATCTGAAAATCAGGTATGAAATAGAGCTCATAGAAGATTGATTGAAACAACAGAAATTAAGTTTTTACAGATGTTTGGTCATAGTCTCAAGAATCCTCAATATATGAATATAATACACATCAAAATGGGAATTTTTAATTTATATTAAAGAATACAAGAGTAAAAAGATGGCATTTACATCTATGAATGGAACATACTAGAATTGCCCAAGAAATTATGAAATAAAAATCTGGTATGAAGACATAGGTTGACTCAGAAGATGGTATTTCTTCTGAGACAGAACAAACTTGAGGCTCACTTGTAGCTTCTGCTGATGATGAAGATAGTTTTGTATAATTTCAACAATAACATTCCAAATTTCGATCTGTAGAGCAACCAAACTGTATGGGTTGCTTGCATAAACTGTCTGCTTTAAGTTTCTTCGGAAATAAAAATCACAAAATTCACATCTGAGGAGCAAACGATAGCTAATCTTCTACTCATTATTCATTCATTACTCGTAAAAACATCTTTTAATATCTGCATTTAATTTTTGAAGGTGTGTGATGGTGCAGTGTCTTGCTAAAAAAGGTAAATTTCAGCCTACTTTCATTATCTTTAAAAATCACCTTGCTGTGCCCCCCCCCATTCTGTTCCTAGGTAACGCTTCAGTAAACACAGTCTTACAACAGAAGAACTGCTGGATGTGGTGTTTTCTACACGGTCCATGTTGTATCAAATAATAAGTAATGACAGGAAAGTAACTGGATTCGTTCTCAGAACTTCTTGTTTCATCTTTATTTAATTCAGCTTCAAAGGCTCTAAAATATTTTGTATATGTACCACACTGAATTAATAGTCTTAAAAGAAAATAAGACCTATGATTTCTCTAGCATTTACTACACAAACTTTCTGGTCATGTACTGCATAGTGAACAACATGGATTTTCAGTATTCCAGTAATTCTGAGTTCTGTAATGATAAAGATATTTCATCTGATATAGGAAGAATCTCGGGGTCAATTGTAGTGTATGAATATTGCTCAAAAGCCAATTACAAGAGGTAACTCTTGAAACTGGATCTACAGGTTGAAAATGGTGCATCAAAAATAACAAATATTCTGTAAAAGTAAAATTTCAGGATTTTTATGGTGCTGGAAACAGAAACCTTAGACACACCTGTTTCTTGGGACCATGGACCATGGAATTTTCATAGATTCAGTTTGTCTTACTTGAATGTTACGGAAAGTCTATAGCTTCTATAGTGTCAGCACACTGCTCTCTTCCTATCATCAGCAGATCAGGTTTCACACACTCATCATTCAAACTTTGAAACATACAGTTTGCTGTATAAAAGCAAATCAGATACTTTCAAGAAAATTTATAAATCCATTTTACGAGTTGTTCCTCTATGAAATTCTCAAAATATACACATTGTTCAGTAGTGTGTGTCACTGCAGCTGGGCATAAAACCAAAGAATGCCACAAGCTGGGAGCCACAAGAACAGCAATATGTTTTAAGGAAATGAACTGTACAATTCTTATATGGCAGCAGAGTGCATGAATCCCTGTGTGCTGAATGCCAACTGACTAAGTTTCTGCTCAGACATAATGCCAGTGCCGTTGAGCGGACTTCGAATGAAATCCAGTGGTGTACTTCTGTACTGTCAGTAGGGGATCTTGGTGAATTTCAGTATACCAGCAAAGATATTTCATTGTATGACATTAATAATGGAAATATTAGGATTATAGTTTATATAAAAATTACCACCTCTGCGGTCTAGTGGTCCGTGTTCCTGGCTACAGATCCAGAGGTACGGGTTCGATTCCCGGCGCTACCAAATTTTTTCTGAGAAGTAGTGCGTCCGGAACAGGGTCCACTCAGCCTCATGATGATAATTGGGGAACTATTTCAAGGAAACAGCAGCTCCGGTCTAGAAGACCGAAATTAATGGCCATGGGGATTCGTTGCGCTGACCATGCACACCCTCTATCTGCATAAGTTGGCATTAAACTTCACCGACAAACAGCGGCTGCTCGGTCAATATAGTTCACTTGCAAGCTAAAATCACGGAGTTTGTTTGTTTTGTTGTATTTTATATAAAAATTGTAATTATGACATACATTTTTACATTATAATTTGTACATCAAGACGGCACAAAAACGAAAAACATTCTCTTTCCTAAATCTACTGTCACTTATACATAAATCTCTCTCCTACTCATGTCCTTTTTTACTTGTCAATAAGTGTCCCACGCACTCTATTACGCTTAGCGTCCATTTCTGCTTGTGTCTGTTGCACAACCATTTTTCTTTTGTTCATGCCTTTCCTTTCCAACTGCTTCTCAATGATCCGTGCATTGTTTGCATATGAATCAGCCACTTCACGCTGTAAAGAAATATATTTCAAACAAAATGATTAAATTACTTTTAAGTCTTGCATGAGATCAGAGTCTTTAAGGAGTAACAATGAATTAGGTTAATGGAAGATTAGTGAACCCTGTCTTAGAGGATGCTTATACAAAGAGATACTGGCCAAAATAAAGATTTTTAGTTAAAACTTCAAAATTATAAATTTCATTCTTACTGTACCTAATAATGCTTTCAATTGTTATGATTATATATATTATATATGTGCTTAACTAAGCACTACAACATGAAGGCATATGGGGGAGTGGATTATATATAGTGTAAAATATGATAATTGAATGATTTGGAAATGATGTGAAAGAAAATGCTCGTGGACTAATTTGAGGTACTATCCTAGCACTTCCCTAGAGGGACAGAACAAAAGTGAAAAAGCAGTCAGAATAGCCACTCCTTAGGCCAAAATCTGAACCATGGACATCCCAGACAAAATTCTGAGTACTAGCCACTTGACTGCAATATTCAGCCAAAATTATGCAGATCAATGTGTACATTGAAGGGAGGTCCTAACTATGTGAGTCATGCCCAGTACCCACAAGTGTACAGCCAGTGTAAACCCTCCATTAACACAAAGGAAAATAACTTTGGCTCCTGAAGTGAAAATGGCTGACCATGGGACTTTACATAACAGCAACATACAGGCTGTTACATTTGATAAGAAGAATGTGGGAGTGGCAGGACATTGCAGAATCAATAGGCGGTTTTTAGAAATGTATGAAAATATCATTCTGCAATATGAACAAAACAGCATTTCCTAACACTGCCACTGCTGCTTCACAGAGTCAACAGATACATTAACGTACCTGTTGAACTTTACAGATGTTTTTGCCAATATATCCAAGGTTTTAAGGAATTTCTGGTTCTGATGAAGATTTTACTTTCTTCTAAGGGGCTTCTAAACATGGCATATATTTATAGTTTTATTTTCTGTCTATAATGCAACAATATTAATTTAACAAACATTAATTCATTCAAGGAACACAAAGCAACACTAGATACACACAGCTAAGGGAGTGGCACACCTAATGGGACATAAAAACAGCTGCAATATATAAGATAGGAAGAAAATCATCCTATAAAATCATTCTACAACATAACAATTCAAAGAAGTTAATAATAACAACATGCCTTAATGAATACTATTTTACCAAGTACACAGTGCAGTATACATCTTTAAAAGATATACTGCCTGAAGATGGCACTGTACGGGTGAAACGTGTAGCATAAACAGCAAATTTACAGATATTTTAAACATGTAATGAACATTTAGTGAATTAATGTTCAATTAATATTGCTGCATTATAGACGGAAAATAAGAATATAAGTTACACTTCAATGCATACATATTCATTTAATTAACTGGGGACTTCATGGTCTCAAAGTAAGACAATGAGCATGATGGCACTGTGGTCACTGTCCCCAGCCTTTAATCATGAACTGACCAGTTTGAATTTCACCATGTTACCAGTTATGCCAAAAAAAACTTTTGTGATCTTCCTGTCTCTCAAGGTGAACGCTGAGACAGTACCTTCAAACAGGCCATGACATCCACCTTTAAAATCATATGCCCATCTCATTCAATACTACAGCAGAATTAATATCACTGTGTAATCTAACACTTCATCAGGCTAAAACACTGGAGTTTCATCCAGAGAGCACTAGGTTTGCTTACCAGTCACAAATCTGCCAGAACCAACACTTTCTTATTGTCAAGAATACCAACATTTCCTCCCCACTGACTTCAATGATAAGAGTTAGCAGGGACTATCAAAATCAACATTTTATAACTCTTCAAACATAACTTACAGCTTCAATCTCATCCTCCTCTTCATCTATGGTGGATACAGTTACTGAGCTGAATTTACCCATGTTCTTTGTATGTTTTGTAACCATTATCTTCTTTGGCTTCTCAACAGCAACCTGGTTGTAAATAGTGGTCATAGGGCCTTCGCCTGAGCTTTTAATGACTGCTCCTTTAACTATGAAATTAATATTGCTTTTCGGATCGTGTTTATAATAGAGTGGTAATCCACACCTAAAAGAACATGACTGAATTAAACAAAACTGAAGGAACAAATCACCGAAGAGTAAAAGAAAAATTTTCAAAAATGTATGACAAACAAGAACTCAGTAATGTAAGCAAATTTATTTTAAAACTGCATTCATAGATGCTGTAAACAACTGGATTCACACTGCTGGTAAAGGAACTGTTAGAAGTATATAATAAAATACATTTTCAAAAGCCGTCGACTTTAACAATTAATGCAGATCCAAAAGAAAAACAGCTACAGACAACTGACAGATCAGATAATTCACATGCAAATAATTGCAAGTGTATTGATTTTGTCATATTAAAATGCTTACAGGCGGTACAGAATGACAAATTCTGTAGAAAACTGATAAAGATATTCTTGAACATTTTAATGACATGTACTGTACAAGAAGGAACTTACTTTTTACATTTCATCCTATATTGCCTCTCAATTCCTTCAGGTCTTTTTAAATACACAGTTTCATCTGGATCACAGGTGACTTTGTGTGCATGTTTACTGCCATCTATCACACGACCTCCATCCCTTCGCCGTAGAGGAAGCTTCTCTATCGCACAATCTAAACAAGAAAGTGTCACAATTTATAACATTCAGTAATACATTCCCAACAAATGGGTGCCTCTTTCTGCACAAGCAAAGGCATCTAGAGCATAAAGTCGACCATTCTTGTACACTGAGTGTCAAAGTTACGGATGAATGGAACTCAACTCTTCCCTGCATGTGTCATATAATAAACATCTTTAGTCCCTTATTCAGATATTCCAGTATTAGTATCTGTCACTGTCAGAGTTAATTCAAATTTATATAATCACATATTTTAACTAGTAAAAACATTTATACAATATCCTGATTTCCATACTGTGGACACTCATTGAAGAGTTACAAGTACAGTAAGTTTTCACAGTGCAGCGCTCTAGAAGCTATAAACTTTTGTCAATATTGCATGAGTCTGGAAACACAACAAAACTGTATATGAATAAATAAAGCTGCATATTCACACAGAATGCTCATACATTAAACTGACTCTGTACAAATCTTACTTCTTCATTATCCTCAAGAACTACATTAAATCCAAAAATGCCTTCAGCAATTACAGAACTATGAGGATACTTAACAAGGCTGGCAAAATGTAGAAGTTTATGTACAATGTTTTCATGAGTAGTTAAATGGTGATTCAGCTGGTAAAGAAATTCTGCTGTTATGGAACCCAAAATTTCATCATAATGTTCACAGGAACCCAATCCTGACCCAATAGCGATCTGTACAATGTATCACAAACACATTCTATAGTTGCATACTAGTGATGTCACAGACAGTAAGTCTTTTATGACATCTACATAGATTGGGTTCATCTAATCTGAAAGAAATTTTAATGAAGTTTATCAACTATTTCATTCTTGCTTAAGTTTACTTGTTATATAAGTACGGTGTCCGCGATATGTACCCATGCATGAATTCTACTGCCAGGTTCAGGAAACAAAGACAATAAATTTCTTCCTCCAAAAGTGAAACAATGAGACCATCTTTGTGGTCTAGTGGTCAGAGTTCCTGGGTTCGATTCCCGGCGCTATCAGATTTTCTGAGAAGTAGTGGGTCTGGAACAGGGTCCACTCAGGCTCATAAGGATAACTGAGGAGTTATTTCAAGAAAATAGCGGCTCCAGTCTAGAAAACCGAGAGATTAACGGCCCTGGGAATCCACTAGGCTGACCACATGACACCCTCTATCCACAAAAGTTGGCACTAACTTTGCCAACAAGTGGCAGTCGCTCGGCCGGTATAGTCTGCTTGCAGACTACAGACCACAGAGATTTTTTTAAAAGTGAAGCAATCCCATCTCAGTTACTATGTAGCACCTTAATTTTTTATATACAGAAAGAGAAATATCACAGACAAGAATTGTCAGTTGCTGAAAAATGTAGCAGTGTCTACTCAGCTGCATCAGACTGGGAACACCAATTGACTGATAAGAAAGGAAAGAGAGAACAGTGAATATAGGGAAAGCAGCTCATGGGAAAAAAACGTTGCTTCAAATCAAGCTAGGAGACAGTGTCAAATGAAACTGCTATAATTGTGGCTACTGCATTCCGAAGTTGCATCATGCTAACTACTAACAATGACAGCAAAAATTAATTTTACAAAAGTAATACACAAATGAAGAAACAGGAAACAACTCTACTATATGCTGCTCACATCTTTTTAAACCTGAAACTTTGTAAACTACCTTTCTGTCATTAAATTAACATTTTATTTATACTGGATATTATTCAGGTCCTTGCAAGTAATAATACAATACTGGTATGTTACACACAAAAATTAATATAAATTTCACAAAATTCACACCATGCGCCATATATACAGTTCTAAATGCAATGTCCTTACTGTACCTTCAGTGGATATAAGCTACATAAACCAATAATTTTACTGCACTTGTTATATACTTTTTCAGTGTATTCTGTTTCTTCTGCCTACATGTTTAATTTACTGTACTTCTATCCATCTATCCAGAAAATACTCCATTTTCATACACTGCTCATCTTCCAACAGTCTACACTTCCACTCCAGTCCTTGTCTATCTCATTCTGCAGTTTATTCCCCCAATGTTCGCACTGCTTCATTCCTCAGAGAAATGCCAATGTAAGCCATGACTTTATCAATTCAGGTATTTATAATTTTCCAAATAAGTTGTACCTGTGCTTAATTAATTAAGCTCTATACCATGAAGATATATGTGGGAGTGGAGGTATAGCTCCACCATTCTTCACCTTGGCAACAGATGGTGGTGAGTGGTCAGCTTCAGCCCAGGCCACATTAACCCAAGGGAAATGCCCCCCACCCCATACTTATTAGATGGGAGGCTGCGTGAGCCCCAGAACTGGTCTGGACGATGTTGAGAAAGGAAAAATCTTGCCCCTGCTGGAAAATCCCAGCCATCCAACCCATAGCTCGTCTCTGTACTGACTGAGCTACAAATTTCAAATATTGCTCTTATGACATGCCCCAAAGAATGATATTATGTACAAAAAGTTCTGTGAAAAACCAATAACCTACTTTCCTTTCAGTACATATAAGTACTTGATAGGCTACAGACAATATAGAAAACTCCACACCTAACAGTTCCTCCATATTTTTGTATTCGTTGCCAGAGGAACGTGTTAACTGAGTCGTTTCCTAGTAACGTTATGGGAGGCACACAGATATCAAAGTTATCTTATAAACTTCTAATTTTTCAAAACACAGAAAATAAAAAGTGCAGTAAATTTGACCAATAAATGGCTAACACTCCTGCTTCATATTCATTTCATTTCATTTCATTTATTTCGTGTCCATGGATCATTATACATGATATAAGACACGTCATTCTTGTGTAGTTATAGTATAATAAGTTTCATGATGTTACTATTGGGGGGGCTGCATGTGAAGCATGCAGTGCAACGTGGAATTTGGGTACCAACTCAGCATTTGCTCTGGGACCAAGGAAAACCACAGAAAACCTTGATCGAATTGGCCGGTCACAAGACCTCCCAGATACACTGGTTTCTAGCAGCACCACTCCCACCGCCTCGGCTAAATATCCCATAGTCCCTGCTGTGTTTTCTCCAGCACATGGCGTCCTGTTTCCTGCAAGAAGAGAGTTATGCAGTATACACTCCTAGTGTGTGTTAAGCTAAGCTCAATTGTTCTTACTTTTAAATTATTATATGATCCTAATGTGAACTAAGTCTTGTCCACATAGGAGAGGAACTCATCTATGCTATAAAAGCAATGTTTTAATAGAAATGTTTTCAAAGTCATTTTAAATTTACATAATGCTGGTATCTCTTTAATGTATTGCGGTAGGTGGTTTAGAAGACGAAGACCAAGATTATTGAAATTGTTTTTACACAAGCTTGTACTGCATGGAACAATGTATAAGTCCTCTTTCCTTCTTGTATTATATGAGTGTACATTTGCATTGGTTATGAAGGTATTCGAGTTGGATTTCATGTAAACTAGTGTTTCATATATATAGAGGCATGGTAGAGGTAATACGTGTAGTGATTTGAAATACTGTTTGCAGCTAGTAGTTTTGGTTACCTGCATTATGGCTCTAATGGCTCTCTTTTGTAACTTAAAAATCGACTCTGCGTTTGATGAATGACCCCAAAATATCAATCCATATGATAACGAGGATTGAAAGTATGCATGGTATAGAGTGCGAACAGTCTCGATCCCTAGCACTCTGCTGACTATTCGTAGGGCAAAACATATTTTACATAACTTGTTTGCTAGCTTTTGAGTATGTGTAGACCACTTTAAATTCTTGTCTAGCCATATTCCCAAAAATTTTGTGTATTCCACATTATTGATTTCTTTGCCATAAAATTTTATTGACGGGTATTCTAGGTACATCTTCTGAGTGTGATGGAAGGATATTGCTACCGTTTTCTCTATATTAATAATTAACTTATTCCTTTCGAACCACTCTGTGAGTGTATTTATTGTTTCACTTATTTCCTTTTGGACAGCATCGACCATATTCCCTGATATAAAAAGACTGGTATCGTCGGCAAAGAACGTTGGTTTTCCCTGCTGAATACCTGCTTCTAAATCATTGATATATAGCAGAAACAAAACTGGTCCAAGAACAGAACCTTGCGGGACTCCATGACTTACGGGTCTTTGTTGTGATAGCCAGTTAATGCTTTCCTTGGTTTCTCTATCCCTATATGTAATTTCTACTTTTTGTTCTCTTCCTTCCAGATATGTTTGAAACCATTTAAGCGCAACCCCTCGTATTCCCATTCGTTCCAGCTTCCTTAACAGTATATCGTGATCGACTAGGTCAAAAGCTTTAGATAGATCCAAAAATAATCCTATACCTATTTCCCTCTCATCCAATGAGTTATATACTTTCCCTAAAAAATCAGCGATTGCAGTCTTTGTTGTTTTCCCTTTACAGAAGCCATGCTGCTTGTCATTGATTATGCTGTAAATATTTAAGAATGATAAGAGTCTTTTATACACGACTTTTTCCATAATTTTTGAAAATACAGAAATTAATGATATAGGTCTATAGTTAGCGACATCTGTTTCGCTTCCTTTCTTATAATTCATTGTTCATTCATGAACATGAATCTTGATCATTAATTGACTGTCATTTTACGCTTAATTTACTATGTATATATTACCTGTATTACCTATTCTACTCTGTTAAGATTATGTTAATATTTATTGTACATATATCAATTGATACTTTATATTTATAGTTTTGGATATTTTAATTCTTATTTTATATATATATATATATATGATTGGTTTTATTGACTTATTTATATTTGTTTGATATTTATTGATCTTTATAACCTATAACTACTGATATTCTTACAATTTTTATTCTGTTGTGTCCACTGTGTATGTGCCTATTTGATGATATTAATCAGTTTTCCCGTATGTTTTGTGGTGTGGTATGTATTTGAGAATATCATGACAAATTCTGTATCCTTATTTTGGATTTTGAATGAAATAAAATAATAATAAACATAATACAATTAGGATAACAACTGATGTTCCTGATTTTGTTACAGATTGTAGGTAATAGCACTTTATTGTTGCATGTGACGGTTTATGTTCATGTATTCATGTTTTATTAATATTTATATATGGCTAACTGTTATGACATTGCACAATTGTTATGCAGTATGTAATTACGCTTACTCATGTTGACTTCTTCTATATCCATGTTCATGTATTCATGTATTCATGTTTTTGTAAATATTTATATATGGCTACTGTTATGACATTGCACAAATGTGATGCAGTATGTAATTATGCTTACTCATGTTGACTACTTCTATATCCGTAGTGTTTTGAAAAAACCATGTAAGGATTTATGGAATGCTGAATAAATGTAAATGTAAATATACAAGGGTTTGACTTTTGTAATTTTAAGCTGGTCAGGGAAGTGTCCGGTTACAAGTGACAAATTTATTACATATGTCAAAGCAGTTATCATCTTGGGATAGCATTTTTTGACAACATACTCTGGGATATCATCTATACCTGCAAATTTTTGTTACCAAGTCCTTTAATTATGCCTGCAACTTCTAATTCGGTAGTTGGGGTTAAGAACATGCTGTTACCGTTATACCTGACTGCATTAACATTTGCTTCTTGGTTTTTTACTGATGAAGCCCCCATATTTAAATCTTGGCCCAGAGATGGGTTATCCTGACTTTTTTTCGTAGTTTTCCCACAATCCCTATAGACAAACGCTGGGAGAGTACCTCAAATTAAAATATCAACACTTCCTTCCGCAACCCTCCCAATTCATTATTCACTACACAATTTAACGTAGCATCACTGAAAACGTACAAAATTAGATTACAAACTCTTGGTGCATACAGTGTAAAACTACAATGACAAAGAAACGTTAGGCATACATTTTCCTTACAGGTGTGAACTCACCTAATATCAGAGTCATCTGACCACAAAGACAGTAGTAAATATGCAATGGTTTCTCTTCACTATACTCTTCCTGATCTTTAGTATCTGAACAAACTATACTTCGCGACACAACCTTTGGCATTTTAACGACAGCTTAATACCAAAACTAATAGTCCTGTTCGGTCAACAATAACACACTACACTCATTTTCTTTCCCCCACCACTGTTTACGGTAACAATCGAATGGATGCGTCCGTAAAGTTCAAAGAAACGATATGAATCATCACTGACACTGATGAACTTTCACTTTCGATCCCGGGTCTGGTCAAGTGGGATTTGTGGTGGACAAAATGGCGCTGGGGTAGGCTTTCTTCGAGTACTTGGGTTTCTCCTGCCAATCTTCATTTCACCAATTGCTCCACAATCACCTGGGGCTGATACAATAGGCCAGAAGTGGCCGCAGTACAAGGGACTTAGTCCCACCCCACTAGCAGTAAATAAAAAAAAATACCATTTCAAACACCGTCTATGTTCACACTCATACGACGGTTTACACTATTATTATTAATAGTAGTAGTAGTGATTGTTGTAGAAGAAATTGCCTCGATGTCCGTGGCTCAACTCTCACATACCTCTTCAGTTCTACCACAAATTTAAATCAATGTACAGTGCATGCGGTAACCGTGATCAACCGTGATAGCTTTCGGCAGTTTATAACGAACATAACGAGCATGATGAGATAACGAAAGTAGCGAAAGTAGCGAAAGTAACTGAAGAAATAAACCGTCAAAAATGTAAAAATCCACCGCGCCGTACCTCATCCGTGCTCCATGGCGCCATAAATAAATTTGAACGTTTCCTGTCGATACCGTGTTATATTGCTGCAGTAATGGATGAAGGTAGTATATAAGGGACATTTATTTTTTAATTTGATGTATCTTATGTAAAGTGTAAGTTGAAATTGTTTACTATCAATATGTTTTTTTTTTCTAATCTGGTTACTTGCATTTAGTTCTTTCAGTTCATGTAATTTACCACTGATTATTAGGCAGTAGCTAATTCCTAAAGGAGCATTATAGAAATTACTGAATATAGTTCTGCATTATTTATGACATACTTACGCGATGCTAACCAAGAAAAGCAAATATAACACATTAGACTATATTATGTATCTAAATGAAGCTTTGATACTTGCAAATGAGATTCAGATGAAAATATTGAGACAAGAATTAATATACTATGGCACATATGCAAGCATTAAGTGTAATTTAATGGTTTCTACCATCAGAGTAATGAGTTTCGTGTGAGGATGAGGGTTATTTACAGTAAACACAAATATGTTTTTGTAATCTTTAGAACAAATGGTTCTCAGCTAAATACTGTTATGAATGTTGCCAACTGTTACATGGTATGTGGTGTCTCTGTTTAGTAGTTATAGAAAATATAATCAGTTTGAACCCAAAAGTGGAATTCCAAACAGGCATTAGGTGTGTCAGATTAGGATACTTTCTATTTAGACACTAATTTCTGTATGAGTGTTAGATGTGGTTATTAGAATATATTGTGTTGTTGGTGGGGGGGGGGGGTGAACTGGTAGCCCCAAGCATTCAGGTTCCGCTGTGTACCTGTGTCTTCATTAGGCCCCTTAAACAGCCTTGTTCTCAGTGCTAGATCCAGAACCAGTTTGATTGAGGCCTTACTTATATCTGTCAGCTCCAATTATGCAGGTCCAAAGATGGACAGTGACATGGTATGTGATAGGAGGATTCCTTCTCCCCATATTTCCGGCATATAGTGTTGTCTGAGGGGCCCATAACATGTAGGTACCATTGCAGGGTACAGTGGCCAGTCAAAATCCTGTTACTAGTCTTCGTCGTTCTGTGTTCAAGACCAGTAGTACCCTAGACAGTTTTTCCTAAAGTCCTTTAATGAAAAGCATTAGAATATGTGTTACCACATTTTACACAGATAGGCTTACCTTCTCCAGATTATGTTTACTCCCTGAAGGTGTGAGGCCATGTATACTGTATTCATGAAGTCCTCTAGCTTCATTACTTTCTTTTCATACAAGGTGTGGCAATAAAGAAACCGGATTCATGCTCTAACCCTTTATTAAAAAAAAATCAGACAGTCGAAATGTTATCCCCTTCAATGTAGTCCCCTCCCCGATCCCTACACCGCTCCATGCGAATTTTCCACTGTTGGAAGCAGTGCTGCAGGTCATCTTGTGTTATGCTCTTCAAGAGTTGCGTCGCTTTTGCTTTCACTGCATCCACGGACTCGAACCTGGTCCCTTTCAGCGCAGACTTGATTTTTGGGAAGAGAAAAAAGTCGCACGGTGCTAGGTCCGGAGAATACGGTGGATGTTCCATCACTGGAATGTTGTTTTTTGCCAAATACCTCTTCACAGATAGCGCGTTGTGTGCTGGCGCGTTGTCGTGATGAAGAACCCATGAGGCATTCTTCCACATGTCTGGTCTCCTTC